ATTTTATTTATTTATTTGAGACAGAGAGAATGAGAGAGAGAGAGCACATGAGAGGGGGGAGGGTCAGAGGCAGAAGCAGGCTCCCCGCCGAGCAGGGAGCCCGATGCGGGACTCGATCCCGGGACTGCAGGATCATGACCTGAGCCAAAGGCAGTCGCTTAACCAACTGAGCCACCCAGGCGCCCTCATGACTTCTTAATTAACTTCTCTGCACATGGTTTTAAGGAGGGGGTCACATAAATCATTTTCAATACCATACTTTATGACAGATATGTAGACACAGAACTTTGAGAACACACTCTTAGGAAAGACCATAATCTTTGTTTTGATCTAAGAAACACAAGGAGGGTTTCCTGTTCCTGACATAACTGTGGTATAAGAGTGGAAAGACAGCTAGCTACTCTTCCTCCAACATTTATAAAATCTATTTCATCCAAGACATGGTCTTAATTCTTTACCCATTTAATCCTCATACTATTTCCACATTTATATATGAGAACACTGAAGCAGAGAGATTAAGTAACTCGGCTGTGAACACACAGCCAGTAACTGGAAGACCCAGAACTCAAACTCAGTATTCTGGCTCCACAGACCATGCTCTTAGTCATCATGACTCATTGGCATATATATGTGTGTGTGTGTGTGTGTGTGTGTGCTTATATGTCTATGTGTACTGTGTATGTCTACATATATATACTATATATACACACATATAAATATATATGTATATATATAGACTTAGACATATAAATACACATAGTGCTTGGATCGCTGTCAGGCATATCAAAGAGGGTTAGTCAAACTCTACTGAAAAAATTAAACCAGAAGAGAAAAGGTGCTCAGATTCTAAAGGAAAAACTATGTAAACTGTTCCAAACAACGAAGAGAGGGCATGACAACAATACGGAACAGGCTCTGGTTGGCTTGCCTTTCTCCACTTCAACAAGGAGACATTTATCAAATGCAAACCTGACTGTGTCATTGCCCCGTTTCAATGCTGGGAATTTGGAAACTTGGGGAACCTCACTGCAGTGTTGCTCAGACTTTTACAGGAAACATCTCTCCCTGATGGCTGGCAGATGAGAGCAACTACATTCTTACTAGGCACCTAGCTGAATGGGCAGCCACAACTGAGTTTTCATAGACTGTGCGCCTCACCCTTACTATTCTGACAAGTCTGGCATTTATTCTACAATGTATCTGTTTTGTTGTAATGTAAAAATAGTGTTTATAGCTACTTAAAATTGCAACTCTAGACAAAAAAAAAAAAAAAAAAATGTACTCCTACCATGATTTCTAGCAGCACCTGGCCTATATGTGCATGATTTTGGAGTACCTCATATTGTACCTTCGTACAGACAACAGGGCTATGGATCTAATCCAAGCTGGTTCACCAGCCCCTTCTCCCACCTCTCCAGCCAACACAATTATTTGCAACCTTAGTAACAGTCAAATTTCATCCTGTTTTCCAATCCCTGGTCTTTAATAATTAGATCCTTGTCCATCTTGCGGAAGATAATACCCATCCTCCCAAACCCTACTTAGGTGTGATTTTACTGAAGTCTTTCCTCAATTCTCTTCCTCCCCGCAGTGTGTGGATACTTGGTAATACTTCCCTAGTTTATCACACTGTTTGCATTTGTTTCCGTGGCTGTCTCCCATACTAGACAGTGCTGTCCCTGGAGACAGACCCCTGCTTTAGTCTGTGTAACATCCCCAGTGCCAAGTACAGCTCTGCCATTCTGGTAAATCTCTGGGCCATTGGAAACTGGCCTCATAATGAGTAACCCAATCCCTCAAGAGAAGGCAGGAGAGTTGACCATAAAATTTAAATTAAACACAAATCGAAAGATCTGAGCACATCTCCAGTCTTGAATTTCTTTCCTAATATAATGCCAGGTTCCCCATGAAAGGGACGTTGAGCCCGGTCGCTCAAAAGTCGTGAGAGATCTGGCTTGGCGAAGGAGTCACTCACCAACTCGTGGAAGGCGGGTATCTGTTCTCCAGCGTTTTGGTCCAGGGCTTGTACCAGCTGATCTGCTCGGCCGCTTTGCCCCAGAACCGCTCGGGGTCGGCCACCGAGGCCGCGAAGTGGGTCTTGTACTCGCCGCCACCACCTGCCGACGACAGCGCTCGGCAGCCCCGGCTCCCGAGAGTGCCCCGCGGGCCGGGGGCCACGTACGCCCTGCGGGCCGGGCCGGCTCCCCGGGCTGGAGAGGACCCGGGCAGGGACCCCCCGAGTCCCCCGGCGCCGGTGACTTTGCGACACTGCAGCCAGGACGGCTTCATCGCCGCCAGCTGGGCCCCCCTCCCCCTCGCAGGCTGTGCTGCCCGAGGTCCCAGAGTGCACTCCTCAGCGACAGCCGGGGCTCTCCCGACTTCCAGAAGGCAGCGGGCAGGGGGCGGGAGGCGGAGGCAGCTCCCGAGGGGAGCCCGGGGCCTTGGAGTTTGGAAGTCACACTAGGGCTGCCGGGAAAAGCCGACCTGGAGCGACGGGGGAAGTAACAGGCTGGAGTGGGGGCGGGGGAGTAGGGGGTAGGGGCCGGGGCCACAGCGGGAGAAATCCAGCCCCTGCGTGCGTCCCCAGCCGCGCGGCTCCCCCACGAAAAGCCCCCTGTTGCTGCAGAACGTCCTCCCTTCCCCGACACGCTAGTGGCCCTCGGGGGAGGCCGACGCACCCATCTCGCTCTCAACAAACAAGTTTTCAAACAAACAGGTTGTGCGCAGCTTCTGTGGCTCCATCTGTGCACAGCCAGCTGGTGGAGGCTCATCGCCTCTGGCCTGCGGCGGAAACCAAAACCCCTGGGCTCTGCGGCAAGGCCCCTGCAGTGTTCGTTTCCTTAGTTTGTTTTTTTTAACTCAGCTCAGTCCCTGGTTGTTAAAAACACCAGCGGCTCCAGGGCAAGGACTGCTCCAGGATTTCATGACAGCTGAGAGGGTAGGAGGAGTGGAGGAAGGTTGCGCAAAAGTGGGGAGTAGTGATTGACCGGCTCCTGGGGAAGACAGACCCGCGGGGTTGAGGATCCACCAGCTGCTCGGACTCCCCCCCACAGATCTAGAGGTGGAAAGCAGAACGGACTTGTTGCATTTCTTCCCCTCCAATTTGCCTCTTTGGAGTTTCTGGGGCCCTTTCCTTGATGTGGGGGGGGGGAGCCAAAAAGAGGAGCTAAGTAAAGATAAAGTGAATCAAACAAAAGAGGAAGAGGAAGCTGGGGAAAATTAAAAGACAAAGGCAGTATAAATTACTATCTGGGTTTAACATTCTAAAAGCTCCTTCACTGTTTTTTACACCCAAGTGAAATTCAGATGCAATCCTGTTTGCCTTAGCATTTGCGGTTTTAAATGTAAAGATGTGTATTCCCAAATCTGAGGCGAGAAATAGTGGAATGCCCCTGACCCGAGGAAGGATTGTAAACTTGAGAAGCTGTAAAATCAGATTACTTTGCAGGAAAAGAATAATGTGGAGATAAAGGTTAAAAAAAAAAAAAAAAAAAAAAACAGAGACAAATATAATGCAAAACAAAGAAAATTTAAATAACCGCTTCGGCTATTCCCTTTCAACTGAGAAACAAGGCACTGGACTTTTTCCTGACACCGGCAGCCTACTTTATTACTTCCAACGGCTTCAGATCAAAGGATTTCCAGTAGCCAGAGACATTCACTACCTCTTGAACTCAGAGATAAAGCCATTTAACCTCCTAGCCCCCTGCTTTCCTCTGTCCAGTTGCTTAATGTTGCTTCCTGGTATTTAAGATCACTTGACTCCAAATTATCCCCTATTGTATTATAATGATGTTCACGTCAGTCATTTGTTTAACAAATATGTGAGTACCTACACTGCAAGCGAGATGTGGTTTGTTGGGGGATATTTGAAGGAGGGAAGCAGACAGTTTATTGGCACCTACTCTGTATATTTGTGGTGCTACCCTTTCAAATATGTTAGTTCCTGTGATTTTCAAAGAAGTTCAAAGAAGTGGGAACTATAATCCCCATGTTTACAAACGGAGCTTAGAGATAGGTTAACTTGCTTGAGGTCACGCAGCTACCAAGCAAAACAGGATTCAGACCTTGTTGATACTCAGAGCTCAGCAGCCCCTATACCTTTAAATACCTGTGTGCCAATGATACTGATCGCCATGCTTCAAAGTAGAGTGCTCACTCAGGGTCAGTTCACTCCGCTCCTGTCCCTTACCCCAGCGTACTCTACGAATAGTATCATTTTCTCTGTGTGCCATGACTTGAATAAGGTAGGGAATCTGACTCTGGAATCCATGGTTTTTGCACCAAGCTGATCATCTTCCTATTTAGAGAGAGACAGAGTAAGAAACAAGGAAGGAAAGAAGGGAGGAAGGGAGGAAGGAAGGAAGATTGATTTTAGACTCCCAGTAGAATATGACTAATTGAATTCCCACATCCAGTCCTAGAAGCCTGCTGAAAGAGAATCAAAGAGTGACAGCGATGGTGGTGGCAAAAAGCCACAAGGACAAAGAGAATAGGAGAAAAGAAAGCAAAAGAGAGAAGGGAAAGAAGATGGATTCGTTGTTATATGACTTACAGGGTCACTTTAGGGTGGGGATGGTCCTGAATTTAACTGCTTTTGGTCGAGTAAAGGGATTTCCTCTTCAGAAACCTGGAATGTGTCAGGATTTTGAGGTCCTGGTTTCCTCTGAAGGTTCAGAATGAAGGTCAAGGGCTTAAAAACACACACATTAATTAAAAGATTGTGTGAGACAAAGTTAGATCCCTGAATTGCTGGGTGAAACCATTTTCTCGGGACTTGGCAGTACACTGTCTTATTTTAAGTAATTGTACAAAATAGATCGTTAATGTTAAGTTCCAAATCAGATGTGAGTGAAGGCACAGTCCAGCAAAGGCAAGAAATAGAGTGGACAAGTAGAACAAGGGTGACCAATGAGACTAGAAATTTTTCTTGGAGCTCAGTACAGAAGTGCAAAATAATGTCAAATGCAGGCCAGAGCCTGAGGGTGCACCATCGGCCTTTAAATTAAGACACTCAAAGCCTGTTGACTGGCCACTGAGCTTAAGATCATTAGCCACTGAGTCTCAGTTTGAATACTAGTACTGCCACTTATTAGGTAGAAATTTGGAAAATTTATTAACTCGCCTACACTGTAATATCAGTTATCTGTATTCTGAGGCTCATGATTCTTACCTCACACTATTGTTGCAAAGTTTAAATATGTATACATTGATTAGCATCAGGGCAGTAGCAAAGCAAGCTAATTTAGGACAGCAACAAAGCCTATGAACAACCAACCAAGCCTAAAGGACACCTCAAAAACCTCCAGCTTCATTAACATACCTAAAAGTTTATAATAAGAAAATTTTGAAAAAATTATTTTAATTTAAACATGCATGTACATTCTATACTGCTTCAAAAAATAAAACTGTGTTTTAAACTAATTTGGGGACAGGATAATCACAATCTTTTCAATGTTTGCCCCTCTAAAACTCTGGCTTTTTGATACAAAATATTTATTTTCTTGTGTGCCAATAAATTGTATATATATTTTTTCTTTTTTTCATTTATTTTATTTTATTTTTTCATCAAAGTAAGTGTACTCTTTAATCCCTATCCCCTACTTCCCGCATCCACCCACCGACCTCCCCTTGGTAGCCATCAGTTTATTCTCTAGAGTCTGTTTCTTGATTTGTCTGTCTCTCTCTTTCTCTTTGCTCATTTGTTTTGTTTCTTAAATTCCATATATGAGTGAGATCATATGGTATTTGTCTTCTCTGACTGACTTGCTTCGCTCAGCATTATTCTATCACTATCCATGTTGTTGCAAATGGAAAGGTTTCATTCCTTTTTTATGGCTGAACAATATTCCATTGTGTATATATAACATATCTTCTTTATCCATTTATCTATAGATGGACACTTGGGCTGCTTCCATAGTTTGGCTATTATAAATAATATTATAATATTATAAATTATAATAATATAAATAATGCTGCAATAATCATAGGGGTGCATATATCCCTTCAAATTAGTATTTTTGTATTCTTAGGGTAAACACCCATTAGTGTGATTACTGGATGGTAAGGTAGTTCCATTTTTAATTTTTTGAAGAAACTCCCTACTGTTTTCCACACTGGCTGTACCAATTTGCATTCCCATTAACAGTGCAATAGATTCTTTTTTCTCTACATCATCCCTAACACTGAGAGAGAGAGAGAGAGTACATGAGTGGGGGAGGGTCAGAGGGAGAAGCAGGCTCCTCGCTGAGCAGGGAGCCAGATGCGGGACTCGATCCCGGGACTCTGGGATCATGACCTGAGCTGAAGGCAGTCACTTAACCAACTGAGCCACCCAGGCGCCCCTGTTTTTGTGTTTTTTATTTTAATCATTCTGACAGGTATGAGGTGAACATATCTCAACATAATAAAGGACTTCTATAAAAAACCCACAGCCAACATCATACTTAATGGTGAAAAATTGAGAGCTTTCCCCCTAAGGTCAGGAACAAAACAAGGATGTCCATTCTCATCTCTTTTATTCTGTATCTATTGAAGTGACAATATGGTTTTTATCCTTTCCCTTATTGATGTGACATATCACATTGATTACTTTGCAAATATTAAACTACCTTGCATCCTGAGAATAAATCTCACACAACTGTGATGTATGATTCTTTTTAAAATATATTGTTGGATTAGGTTTGCTAATATTTTGTTGAGGATTTTTCCATTTATATTCATGAGAAATATTGGCCTGTAGTTCTCTCTCTCTCTCTCTTTTTTTTTGTGGTGTCTTATCTGGTTTTAGTATCAGGGTAATGCTGTCCTCATAGAATGAATTTGGCAGTTTTCCTTCTTCTTGTATTTTTTTGGAATAGTTTAAGAAAAATGGGTATTAACTCTTCTTTAAACGTTTGGTGGAATTCACCTGTGAAGTTATCTGGTCCTGAACTTTTGTTTGTTGGGATTTTTTTTTTTTTATTACTGATTCAATTTCATTGCTGGTAATTGGTCTGTTCAAAGTTTCTATTTCCTTCTGCTTTAGTTTTGGTAGGTTATATGTTCCTAGGAGCTCATTCATCTCTTCCTAGTTGTCCAAATTGTTGGCATATAGGTTTTCATGATATTCTGTTACAATTGTTTGTATTTTTGTGTGCTGGTTGTTATGTCTCTCCTTTCATTACTAATTTTGTTTATTTGCGTCCTCTCTCTCTCTCCCTTTTGAGTCTTGCTAGAGGTTTATGTAATTTTGTTGATCTTTTCAAAGAACCAGTTCCTCGTTTCACTGATCTGTTCTATTGCTTTTTAAATTTCTGCATCATTTATTTCTGCTCTAATCTTTATTATTTCCTTCCTTTTACTGGGTTTGTGTTTTATTTGTTCCTT